GAGGGGTCCACCGAGAGGCGGTGGGTGATGACCCTTCGGCTGATTCCCGGCATGTCCTCCGGCCCCCATGCAAAGACAGTGGAGTAGGTGCAGAGGGCGTTGGTGATACCGGCCTTGAGATCTTCAGGGAGCTGGGCTCCAATCTTCACGACTCTCTCCGGCTGGGCCGGATCGAGCGCAAAGTCTTCTACGTCCTCGGCCGGTTCAGCCCTCGGCCTTTTTTCTTCTTGGTCGATGGTTCCGGTGATGGTGTCAACATGGAATTCCGTCTTGCTTACCTTCCTAGTGACTTGAAGATAGCAGGCGCGGGCGATTTTCTGATTCCCCCGGGAGTAGCCAATGCCCCCTCGGCGGGAAACTTGAGGCAGAGGTGCCTCATGGAGATGATGGCCTCGAGATCCTCGAGGGCTGGTCGGCCGAGGATAATGTTGTGGGCGCAGTCGATGTTGACAACGACGAACTCCACTTCGAGCTGGGCTCTATGGAGCCCGTCGCTGAAAATCACCGGGAGGGTTATTACCCCCTCGGAATCAATAGTGTCGCCGGTGAAACCGGCAAGAGGGGTCTTAATGGGCCGAAGGGACCCCCTCTCCAGATGCAGTTCTCTGAAAGTGCTGAGATACATTACATTGACGGAACTGCCCGTGTCAATGTAAGTTCGGTGAATGATGGTGTCGTTTATTTCAGTTCGAATTACCAAGGCATCCCTGTGAGGAGAAGAAGTAGGGGGGAGATCTGCGTTGGTGAAGGTGATGGGTTCCTCCCTCAGTCTCTTTACCGGGGGCATATGAGTGACTTCCCCCACGTAAAGCGATTGAGCCCACTTCTTTCGCTGGCTGGTGGAATCGCCCCCTGTATTGCCACCGGTGATCATGAGGATGTGGCGTTTTTTCTCCTGGTAGTGGGGGTACTCCTCCTCTTCTTCCTCCAAGTTTCCGATCTCCCTCTTCTTGCCGAGGGGGATGGTGTTCGGGTTCACCCAAGCGTTCACCTTCGTGTGGTGCCCTCGGGGAGGCCCCTGATGAGAAGGTCCCTCCTGCCGAGGGCTCTGAACAAATTGGGACAGGTGTCCCGCTTGTATTAACCTCTCGATGGCCGTCTTTAGCTGATGGCAGTCATCGGTTCTGTGCCCCTGGTGCCGATGGAAGCGACAATATGGGAACTGAGGGTTGATAGCATGTACCTCCGGGGGTGCGTGAGAGTCGCGCTCAACGAGGCCCCTCTCCTCGGCAAAATCAAGGATGATGCTGACGGGGTGCGTCAATGGTGTCCGGGGGCGGTCCAGGAGGATGGGCTGCGCCCAAGTCTTAGGGCTGCTCTTATAACCTCCCCCGGGCTTGGCTTGGCCTTGCCGAGGGCGGTCATCAGAGGGTCCTGAAGACTTGGGGTGACTTGGAGGAGCCCCCGGCCCCCGGTTGTTCTTATTGTCGGCCCTCGGGGGCTGCTGATCCGGATGCTGGTGATATTTCTCCACCTCCTCGGCCTCAGCATATCGGTCCCCCCGCTGCAAAGCCCTTATGTAGTCGCGGGGGGGGGGGGGGGGGGGGTCAATGATGAGGCTCCTTGAAAAGTTGCCGGTGCGGAGGACGGTTTGTAGGAGGGCCAGGAGGGTCCCGTCATCAGCACCGTCGACTTTGCCGGCTTCCGTCCTCCAGCGCTCCAGGAAGTCCCGAAGGGTCTCATCCCTCTTCTGGCGTATGGTTAGGAGGTGGGAGAAGTGCTTCCTTGTGCGGCGCCTCCCGGCAAACTGTGTCAAGAATCGCTGGGCGAGTTCTTGCCACGAATCAATGCAGCCCTCGGGAAACCGGTTGAACCATTCGTATGCCGGCCGCTCTAAGGTGGAGAGGAACCAACGACACAAATATTCGTCCGACGCCCCTACCATCATCATGCTGTTTTGATATTTGTTGTAGTGTTCCTGGGGGTCCGTCTTCCCGTTATAGGGCTGTATGTGTTGCCCTCGGTATTTTTCCGGGATACGGGCCGCCAATACCCTTGGGGTAAATGGCGTCCGAGTCCGGAGCTGGATGACGGGTTCCCCGGAGCCCTCGGCCACCTTCTTCTGTAATTCCTCCATTTTGGCCATCATGGCCTCGTATTTGAGGTCTGAGTGAGGGGTGGAGGTGGTGGCGTGAGCTTTGTTGGACTCCATTTCGTCAAGCCGTCGTTGGAGGGCCGCAATAATCTCGTCCCGGAGATCCTTTGGGAGGGTCTCCGCCCCCTGCGAACGAACCCGGGCCGAGTGGGCCTGGTTGATCTGGTGGCGAGCATCATTGGCATGAAGGGGTGCCTTGCCTTTGTCCCGAGGGGGACGCTCCTCGTCTGCCCTCGAGACAGACCCTCCGCTTTCCTGGGGCCTTTGGAGTGCTTTCCCTCCGAGACGGTCTTGGACCCCTCGGCGGTCTGGCCCTCCTCCGAGCCGGTTGAGGGCGGAAGTGCGGGGCCTTTCTCTGTTGTCATGATGGCGGTCCCAGGACTGAACTTCCTGGGAGGACGTATCTTGGGCCACTACTCCTTCGTCATTCCTAACCCGAAGGAGGGGGTTTCCGAAGGGGTGCAGTAGACGGGGAAGTATGATGTTCTCCCCAACCTGGGGTTGAGCCGGAGCCAGGGTGCCGAAGGCACCCGGGTTCTGAGTGGGCGTTTGGATGAAGGCGGAGAGCGCCGATTGCACGTCGATGGTGAGAACCGGAGGGCTGACTTGGTCATCGCTCCGGTTTTTCTTCTTGGCCTCGATGCCGAGGCGGGCATCGGGGGCATTCTGTTGGATCTGAAGGCGTGGGTCGACAGCCGCCTGTTTCATCCCAGCGATGACACCGCCCTCGGGAGCCCTGTGAGAGGCTTCGGGGGCGTTGACGTCGCCGAGAGCCAGGTTCTTGTCTTCTACGTTTTTGGAGTTGGCACGTGTTGTTCTCACCATTTTGGTAGAGGGCTAGTGTTTGGCGAAGGGGGAGGGTTTCTTACTCGATTGTTCGACCTCTCAACGAGAGCACCAAATGATGGATAGTCTACCCGGGGGTATATATCCGAAGGGTTATTGCTGGGAATAACTTAGAGAGAAGTCAGAGCAAGTAAATGTAGAGAGAGAGAGAGTGTATTATAAATGTGGAGCGTTTTCAGCGTGGTTACAAATGGGGAAATGGGGTGCTATTTATAGTAGCAATAAATGCCGGACAGGGACACGTGTCAAGCGCCTATTGGCCGAGGGGTCACCTCAACTGGTTGGCGTTGGCAGCCGCATATGGCCGCATTTAATGTGGCTGTTGGATGGGACGTCTGTACAGGGTACGGTGATCTGTACGCATGTGAGGCGGATATCATGTCGGGAGAGGTGCCCTCGGCTGCAGAGGACTAGCCGAGGGCTCTTAGTGCCGAGGACCCCTGAGTGCCGAGGGCTCCAGGTGCCGAGGGCTACTGATTTCGCCGTTTTCTCCCAGTTCCTCTGTTTGTTCGAAATATCCATGTTGTGATAGTTTGGAGCCTTCGGCCAGGGGGCCGAAGGCACCCCTGACGCGTATTGCGGGCTGCTTGGAACTCTGGGCATCGTGATTTGGGCCTGTTGGGCCTTCTGAGCCTGTTGGGCCTCTACTGGAGTATTAGGAGTCTGTGGGCCGGGTGTTCCCGGGCCATATACTCCATCACACGTTTTCTTGTTTTTTTGCATTTTTTCGCGGTAGCGATAAACATTGGTTTATTTACAAAATTGTCACCGTCATTTTGTCTAAAATTCGCCAAAATCGCAATAGCGAAAAAGTGCAACGGAAACACGACAAAGTGCAAGGGAAACATGAAAAGCGCAAATTTCACACTTTGCAAGGGAAGATCACTTTTTATTTGAACTCTTTCATATATATAGTGTAATTTTTTTCAATAATTTATTTGACTAACTTCTCCGATTAAATTTTAATTTAAAATTTGATGGAGATAATCTACACTTCATGGATAACATACACACAAAATTTCATAAAAAAGATCGATCCAAAAGCACATGATAAGAAAGAGGGCAAAAGTTGTAAGTTTTAGCTTACCACACATTTTTCTATATGTATATATAATGGATTAAAAAACATGCAAATAAAATACTACGTAAATAATTAAGATCCATATGGGGCACAACCGTGGGCACCCGTGGAGAACAATGGGGTGGGGACCAGAGGCGGACCGTAGTACAGATCCAGGGAGCTATCGTCCCCAACAAGAATTTTTTTAATGTGTGTATATATATATATATATATATATATATATATATATATATATATATATATATATATATATATATATATGAAAAATAATTTTTTCCCTCCCAAAAAATATTTTGAACCCCCCAAAAAATATTTTCTCTCTAATGGGGACGAGTAAGTCTGAGAATAACGGGGATGAGGCAGGGCTGAAACTTTCCCTAATGGTGACGAGTAAGTCTGAGAATAACGGGGATGAGGCAGGGCTAAAACTTTTAGGGTGTGTTTGAGAGCTTGAGGGTGAGAGAAGGGGAAAGCTTTGAAAGGATTTAGTGAGAAGGGAAGGGGAGGGAGATGAGAAGGGATTCCCTCCTCTTGTTTGGGAGTTGCAAATTTCAAAAGAGGAGGGTTTGAGGACTTGAGGGGTTTCAGCGGCGAAGAAATGAAACGAGTAGCAGCTCATAAAGATTTTATACAGAAGCGATTTTAGTTTCAAAGGATAAATCTTTCATTTGCGTAGCTAGACCTTATAAAACCCTCAAATCAGCGGAATTAGAAACTCAGATTTGGGAAAGTTTAGAAGGTTTTATAACATCCCAAAACATTTCCCTCATATTATTTAGACTCTCAAACACAAATATGAGGGTTTATTTCCCTCATATGCCTTCCACTCCCCTCCAAAAACCAACTCCCAAAAACACCCTTAGAGATGGGGCAGGAATGGAGGAGTGAACCCCGCCCGTTGCCATCCCTACCCACATGGCCTTGCCTGGCCGCAGATGGTAATGGGTTTATCAGTTATCTCCGTCAATTTATTATTAGCCACCAACCACGTGACATATTTTTCCAACATACGACTTTTGATGCCGTTAAATTCTTCCAGAATTATCATCTTTCTTTTCATTTTCCAGAATTACCGTACTCAGAAGAAACAGTAATTTTCAATTTCCTTTTCACTCAGTGTAGGATTAATATGGGGGAGGTAGTAAAATCTTTCATTGCCCGGAAATCAGGCAATGCAGAATGCCTACTACTGCTAGGATTCTTACTCCCTTCCCTCTTCGACATATAAAGACTGGATCTTTCTCCTATTTGACACATTCTCCTCTGTTAGCTACTGATCACTGCCACTGTCACATCCGTTTGGCTTCCCGGAAGTGAGGCCGCAAGCAGTGTCCTTAACCATGTTCTCGGGCTTCTCGGCTAATCTGGTCGCGGGAGATCTAGTCGCCTTTGTGATCGCCGGCGGAGTCGCCTTCTCCTGTCTCCGGTTCTGGGAGGAGATTGCTAAAAGAGGAATTTTTGAACAGGTGGGTGTTTTTTAAACCTTTACATTCTTGGAAATACCCTTGTTTTTCTCATTAAGGATCCGTTTCTTATTGGTGCAGCCGTTTGTTGTGCTCAGTTCAGTTTTCTTGAGTCTTGGTTGAAATAAAGAATTCATGTTTATATAGTGTAGTTGACTTTCTTGTTGTTATGCTTTCAATGTGGTAGACACCATGATTTCAAGATTGCTTTTTTCCAAAGTTAATATTCCAGCTTATTATTACTGGAAAGCTTAACTCAATTAGTATTAGATTTTTTTTTTGGTTGTGATTCCAAAAATGTCTTCTTTCAGAATCTAAACAGAAAGTTTGTTCATATTACCATGGGTCATGTTTTCATGCTTTGCTGGCCAATGTTCAGGTATTCTCCCTAATGTTGGGAAGTAAGTTTTTTATCTAATTATTTATTTATTTGGTTGTTCATTCTGGTAATATTAAGCTACACATGCTTACATTTATATAAATATTGATAGTCCTGGTCATCAAGGGGCACTGTTAGCAGCTCTTATTCCTGGAATCAACATAGTTAAATTACTTTTATTGGGACTTGGAATATTGAAGGATGATGCGACTACCAAGTCTATGAGCAGATTTGGAGACTACAGGTTTAAACAATTCAACATCAGGACTGAATATTTGAGCTGATTTTGGAATATTCAAAGACATAGGAATGCCCCTTTTAATACCCCTTTTGCCTATGTGTTTCTTGACTTTTTTTTTTGCCCCAATATAGGGAACTTCTGAAGGGGCCTTTATACTATGCTCTTACCATCACCTTGGCTTGTGCTGTCTTCTGGAGGACTTCTCCCGTTGCAATTGCGTTGATATGCAACCTTTGTGCCGGTGATGGTAATAAACTACCCTTCAAAATTCTTATTTTCAACAGAAGCCATTGCTTAGTGTTATAGTGTCTATGGTAGGACAGTTTTACTACTTATCAAGCTGTAGAGTTTCTAAGAAGCACATACTTATTTGATTTGTGCTAGCTGAAAGCAAATGCCACTTCTATCTTTTTCTATTCAGATACTATGTTTCTTAATTTACTCTATAAACAACTCTGTGTGTGCTAAATATTCTTATTCGGCCTTCTGCCACAATTTAAGTAACTAGTTATTTTTTGTCAAAGTTTACCTAACGAAACTGGCTGTAGATTTGAATGTTAAATACGAAGAAACCTTGAGGAAATAGAATCACGCGTGTTCCTCCAGGTATGGCTGACATTGTAGGCAGGAGGATTAAAAGTCGCAAACTTCCCTACAACAGAAACAAATCCATTGCTGGCAGCATTGCAATGGCAGTTTCTGGTTTCCTATCATCTATTGGGTAACTTGTGCTTGACCTTAGATCTCTGAAAGCTTAATCATGAAGGCCAATTGCTTAGTATGTATTTATTTCTAACAGATACATGCACTATTTCTCCTCGTTCGGGTATCTCCAGAAGACATCCCACACGGTGATCGGTTTCTTGATCGTCTCTATTGCTTCGGCTTTGGTTGAATCGCACCCTCTAAGCACTGAGCTTGATGACAACCTTACGGTGCCTCTAACCTCTGTATTATTGGGCAGTTTTGTTTTCTGATGCGGGACACTCCCAAAGCTTTCGATGGGTGCTGTAAACCTTGGTGAACGTGAAGGTTTTAAAGAAAAGGTCTTTGGAAGTATTTCATGAAGATAACTTTTCGTCAAGTTATGTGGAAGAAAGACTTGGCCTTTTTCCTACACGGATTCAGCACTTCTTGTAATTAGTTTATGTACCAAAACAAGCAAACCCAATATATCCCACTTGGAGGTATATGTTTGGGTAATAAAATCTCTTCTCCATTTATGAGAATGTGGAAACTATTTTCAGATTACATTCTTATACTCCGTACTACTGAAAACCATGGGGACATGGCAAATACCTGAAAATGTGTTAACATCATTTGAGGAGTGAAGCTGCTAGCTAGTTTAGCTAAAGTGAAACAATATAAACCCCCAACCATGCTGTAAAAACCGTAAATGTCAGCTAGTAATTCACCACAAGAGACGAGTTCTCTGAAAAACAGTAGGTTCCATTCAACATCTGTTTCATATTTGCAGAATTTGACTTAATACTTATAGTTGATTATCCGTAGTTATGTTAAATAACAAAATAAACCCTATAACCCTTTTCGATCAATGAGAAGAATAACGCTCAGTAGCATTTCTTGGATGATTAAACCAATTTTTGGGGGAAACGTATACTGACGTCTTCTACACTTATCTTACACACTCTTAGCATAGTTGTAAACGGATAAAGTAAACGGATCTCTGTCCGCACTTAAACTATTTTAGTATTTTCAGGTAAAAAGTTACATATTCAGAAACTACATTTCATTGTTTACTTTATCCGTTTGACTGACGATAAAGTAAACGGATCTCTGTCCGCACTTAAACTATTTTAGTATTTTCAGGTAAAAAGTTACATATTCAGAAACTACATTAAAAGCTTTACAAAGTCGCAAACACCTGAATCAAATTTGATAAAAATTTGATATATAAGGTAAGAGATTAAGAGTGATTTGTATTGACTATTTTAATAAAAACTGGTACTATCAAATTGGGACAGAGGTAGTAATATGATTTTGTATTATACAATGAAATGTACAAAAAAAAGAATAAAAGTAAACAAATAGCTCACTTAATCATTCTTTTAAATTTGAGACTATTTCACTCTATCGCACTCATTTACACTTATGAGACACGATATTGAATTATTTCTTCTCGCCCCAAGGAACCTCTTCACTCAACTCATCACGAGATATCCTTTTGTTCTCTTCTATCACAAGATGACTCTCACTCCTCACTTTCATTCTCACACTGTGTAGAGCTCTACTCAAGGTTGATTTATTAATGAAAGTCGCACCTCTAATTATACTAATCTCTATAGAAAGAGTGGTCTTCTCTAGAACACTTCAAGAGTCTTCTAATAAGTATCTACATACTTCTTTTATTTTCTCGAAGAATGTAGATAGCTCCACATTTCTTCAAAATGTTCCAGAAACATCTACACTCTTTCACAAGATTCTGCAATATTTTACACTTATCAAAGAATTCCAAATGTTATAGATTAGTAGTCCATAATCTTCTACACAATTCTAGATAATTTTATGCCTTTATACAAAGTTTCAGAATGGTCTAGAGCATTCCATTCTAAAGGGTAATATAATGGTGAGCGAGACCACGCAAGAATAATTTGGAGATAAATGAATTTTACCAATTCAGGACCCGAAAATAGATGAATTATCAATCTGGGATCTGGAAGATGAAATGTATCGGTATAGGACCCGAATGATGAAAAACTGTCAATCTAGGATCCGAATGCTTGAAAACTATCAACATAGGAACTAAGTTTTCATAAAATTTATTATCATTATTTTAAAATTTTTAAATATTATTTAGTTTTATTAAACTAATAAACTTTTGTGAAGAAAAATATATCAAATGTTAGCAATGGAATCAATAAAAAATTAAATAAATAAAAATCTATGAAATGTTAGGCCCTAGATCGACAACTTTTCATCATTCGAGTCCTATGTCGATACATTTGATCTTTCAAGTCCCGAATTGATAAGTTATCTATTCTTCAGGTCCCAAACTGATAAAATTCGTATGATTCGCCTAAATCACCTCCCGCCCTATCCTTGATTTCTTTGCCATGTAATCACCTCCCATCTAGGCCTGTGAATGGGTTGGGTCCGAGTCGGAACGCAGTGTTCCAGACCCGGACCCACTAAGTTAAATGGACCCGGAGCCGTTTACCCGACGGGTCTGAAAATTTGGACCCGGACCCAGACCCAGACCCAACGGGTTTCGGAATCGGGTCGGGTAGACCCGCCCGCCAAGTATGATACGCACACCATTATAAACTTTGTGAAAATAACATGGCATGTATGTGAAGTATACAGCAAAGTGTACAAATTCAAAAGCAAAATATATCTTCACTTTTCACAAAAAAATCAAGGTCTCTCATACAAAATTAGTACTTTTATCTAATAAAGTATCGGTTCTTGTACAGGCATATAGCTCCACACTTTGCGTTGCTTTCTCTCGCACAAAAAACTCGTAGAATAAACTAGAAATTAAGTCATAAAAATGTCTCTTGGATTACTAAGAGTATAATAATATTAATAACAATAGTAATAAATATTAGTTTTAGGGTATCTTACTATCTTTATTAGTATCACTTATATACTCTATAGTATTTATGTATTAATGTGTATATTTTTATTGAATAATCACAAATTCACAACTAATAACTTCATGTATTATTATGTATATATGTATATTAGTTTCTATTTTATTTAAAGTGTTATAACTAATCACTTTATGTTTGAGTGTATGTGTATACAAATAAGAAATTGTAAACGGGTCCGGGTCCTTAACGGGTCGGAATCATATGTACCATACCCGACCCGTTTATTTAAAATACTAACGGATCCGGGTAAACGGAATAAAATATAGACCCGTACCCATTAAAAACAACCGGGTCCGGGTCGAGTCCGGGTCTAGACCCGACCCATTGACAGGCCTAGTCCCATCGATGGTATTAAGTTAATTATTAACCATCATTACAAATGTTCATAACTTAGATTTAGATAATAATTCATTAATTTGGTGTACGAGTACTCCAAAACGTATTTATGAAAGTGATAATATATATTTGTTCCAAAAAAGTGATAATATATACTTCATCTGTCCCTAAATGTTTATCGTACTTTGACTTCACAAGTTTTAAAGAAATAAATTTGACTTTACATTGTAGTGACACTGTAGTGACACTGTTTGACACTGTTTACCAAATAAGGAAGTTAAAAATATAGGACAAAAATTTTAGAACATCCGTTTTGAGAAAGTAAGACAAACATTTATGGAAGAGTAGTAATTCGGGTACAGACAATTCGAGGGCACGGGTAGTTTCATTCTTAAAATGAGTACAATTGTATAATTGTAGTTTAAACAGAGTATATATTATTGACTGAATACGGTTGACAACTGGCACAACGGATATATCACATGTATAATGCTGCTTCCGTACTAATTGTACGTTTCAAACATCATCAACATGATTAATCCATTGTAATTATTCACACTGCACAGTCATACAAAGCTAATTAAATATGGGTAGGGTCGCCCACCCCCCAACTTTAGTCCCAATACAGAAAAAATTGCCTGATGAACACATATTTGACACGTATTGATCGATGATTCCGTACCAAATAGCCTCTGCCAAAATGATTTTGACACGGATTTTGCATATCCCTACCAATATTCCTATCAATTTTGAGAAATCTCTGTTAAAGATCTCTGTCAATCTCGTGTTTTTTTGTAGTGATATGTCAATACATATGTCTAATACACCCAGTGACTGACCCAGAGATTTGTGAGAGTAGGGGCACACTAGACCTAAACTTAGTCTATAATAAAAACACTGGGTCCGAAGCGATGCACTGGTTTTTACCTTAAGTAATACTTCGTACTAGTGAATTTTCGGGCCTGAAGCGGGGCACGTGCCCCCAGCCCCCTAGGTCCTCCACTGAATACACCATAACTTTGTTTAGACTTTAGACCATCATCTCAAGTTAGCAATTTAAAGCTTATTAGAGTTTAAGAATTATAAAAATTCATGATCATGTATGTGTAAGAAATGTCATTTATCAATGATTTGATATATAACAGCATGCTCAATTGATTGAGCGCGAGTTGTATTGAATTGTGATTACTTTATTTAAAACATGAATGAATTTCAAAAATAAAATTAAGTATGCTTTCTTATCGAAATCAGACATATATATTTAGTCCTACTAAGAAAATAAAATTATTGTGATGCTTTCAAAAATAGGAATAAACGGGTACTACTAGAGAAGAAAATAATGATACTCGTATTTCATGAAAATGATCCGTCTCTAACTTCAATTCAGTGAATTTACTCAATATGATTAATCATAGGTACTACCTATTAATTATGTCTTGACTTTTTAAAATGTTTCAAGTGCGTTTAGTTCTAAATTGTACAATTTCTAGTAAAATTTCCGGCTACAACTCTTACAAAAAAATTACTGAATTTACACTGATCTAACACAATTGACCGATGATTTCGTGTCAGTTTGCCCCACCGACTTAGGTGGTAACTCCTGGGTATTAAGAAAAAGTTTGTGCCAAAAAATTTTTGGCGTGAATTTGGCATATTCCTATCGAATCTTCTGTGAATTTTGGCAAATTCCCGTTAAACTCAGTGTTTTTTGTAGTGACCACTACATAGGACGCGTATACATGAAACAAATGAGTTATTGATATATATATATATATATGTATGTATGTACCATTACATTCACCCAATTCAACCCATCCCAATCAACATGAACACCAACATGGAGCCTATGATAGCTGATGACTTGTGTTTGTGCTCCAATTTTGTGTGCAAGAATCATGATCTTGAAAAGAAGGGAGAAAGCCTACCTCTTCAAGATGGCAACAACAAAGAAAGTACAACTAGTAGTGCAGCAAGTATTCCATCTTCTGGTCGCCTCACACTTGAGCAACTGATCAAGTATGAATGCATGCATGGGCATGAATTAGTTGGCTATCATTCTTTGGATTCCGCAAAGATCAGAAAGTAAGTACTCCTTTTCTTCATAGACTCAAATTTCATCTTTATTTTAATTTCTTATTTTTTTAGTATCCATTTATGGTTGAATAATCATCACAAAAAATAAAAAAATGCGTGTTTCGTAACAATTGAGACAATCTTGATTTCATTTCTAGTATAGTTACTAAATCCCCCCTTTTATTTTCAATGTATATTTCGGAGTGTTACTTTTTTGAGAAATTGTAGTGTTTGTAAATTGTAATCATCTCTCTCCATTATAGCCTAATTTGAAAGTTTTTATCCTTACTTGAGAAAATTGTAAATTTAGTTCCTTAACTTTTTGTTTTATTCGCTTTTAGTCTCATAAATTTACTCTTTTTATCTGTAATTAATAAATTTATCGATGTTAAGGACTTTGATCTCCACCGGAAAGTACACTCGCCGGTGGAAAGTTTGACACCGGTGATGTCTTTTATTGTATGTGTGTTTTACTGGAATGTATACCTTCTGAAGGAATAGTCCTTAAATGGATAAATTTTATTAATTATAAGACCAAATCGGTAAAGTATGAGTAAAGTTAAAGAGGTAACGACATGCCCAACTAGACTAAAACAAAAAATCTCCTGTTCTTACTTTTATTTATACAACCGTATCCTTATTTTTATTGTATGTTTCTTGTTTCTTTTTTTTTTTCTATTTTTATCTTTTTTATACATCAGAAAGGATATGATTTTTTTTTCTATTTTTATCATCACAGAGAAAGTGAACAAGTATGAAATACCCCATCCGATCCTAAATAAACTTCACTTTCTTTTTTGGGTAGGTCCAAAATAAACTTCACGCTTCTTCTCTCTTCCTTATTTGGCAAATTATCTACATCAAAACAATGCAAATCAATGTCGTCAAACAGTGCCAAACAGTGTCACAACAGTGTACTCTACAGTAAAGTCAAATTTATTTTCTTAATTTGTGTGAAGTCAAAGTGTGAAGTTTATTTAGGACCGGAGGGAGTATATATGATTGATTATGTTTAGTTCTCAAAGTATGACTTATTTGATCATATTAAAAGTATAAAGCTTCTTCAATTAAGAGTGAAAGAATCACATTTCAAGAAGAAAATGGTGACTCTCCTATTGGTGTACTTTTGTCTATGTTTTAGCCATATTTAAAGAATTTTCTCTTACTAATATACTCCCTCCATCCCTAATCTTTCTCCCTTTTCAGTTGGGCACATTTATTAAGATAATGGGATTTGTGTGGTGGAGAGTTGTGCAGAGGAGAGAGAAATGTGTAAGAATGCGTAAGAATGGTTGTGAACCACAAATTTTTTGCTAAAAGGGGGAAGAGGAGATAATTTTGGGGCGGACGAAAAAGGAAAGTTTGAAGATAATTTAGGGACGGAGGGAGTATATATATATATATATATATATATATATATATATATATAGAGAGAGAGAGAGAGAGAGATGTTCAGGTCCGGAATTCCGGAACAGAACCTCCGTCCGGACGGAGGCATTTCAGCGTCTTCCCGGTCGACGTTTTTGATGAAATTTTTATGGCATGTTCTTCATCAAGTCTAGTTTATCCACACAAAAATTCAGCTAAAAATTCAATCGAGAAGACTGTCAAATAACTTTTGGAAGTTAACTGCGTTTTATATGTAAATTCTGGCACAATTATATTCCAAAAATCATTTTACGGCCTTTCCGATTGAATTTTTAGCTGAAATATTTTGTGGATAAACTAGACGTGATGAAGACATGTCATAAAAATTTCACCAAAAAGTTACACCAGGAAATGTCCCAAACGCCGCCGTCCGGACGACGGCGGTTCCGGTCAGGCTTTAATGTTTTGTTTTTAAAACCTCATGAAAGCCTATATAGAAGGGCCTAAATAAAAACAATGTGCAGCACATGCACCACACGATTTAAATAAAATTGATTATTAATCACGTGTCGTTGGACTACAAAAACATGTAAAATTAGATAGAAAGAGTACTTCATACATAGGCTCTATTAACTTTATTATTATTATTATTATTATTATTATTATTATTATTATTATTAAGTGAAATGAAATATTAAATACGAAGTACTCTATGAATTATGGTTGGTTAATGAGATCACGGGTTTATATAAAAAAGGATGTCAATTCGACTTCACTTACGTGTTTTAATTTATTATGCATGCATGCAGGATCATAGCCAATCGGCTATCTGCGCAAAGATGTAGAAATAAAAAGGTTCAGCACCTCCGGGAAATGGAAAAGAAGGTGAACGATCTTCAGGTAAAAAAGTGGGAATAAAGTGGAAATGTATGGTTGTGCTTGTGTAAGAAAAAGGTAAATGAATAGTAGCCACAAAAAAGTTTCCAAAAAGAGAAGTGAGAACTATTTTTTTTGGGATGACCCAAAAAATAAACTGGGAACTATTTTGCAGGACAGGGGAGTAACAATTTGTAATTCATCATCCCAAATTTTTCTTAATGTTTTGTCTCAGCATGGTGATTAAAAACTGATATTATGTAATGAAAATTTGGTGTTTTTGATAGTTTATCTCAATTGACTAAGGGTGTGTTTGGGAGTTCAGTTTTGAAGGGGAGGGAAAGGTTGACAAGGGTTTTTGCTCCTCCCTTTCATGTTTGGGAGTTTAAAAATATGGAACGAATATAGGGACCTTAGTTCAATTTAGCACTTGAGTTTTTTAAGCTTTTATACCCCAGATGTTTTAGTATTATTCAATTTTGTTTTGTATATCCTTGGATTATATAAAATCTAACAATAATCACTTCGATTCTTTTTAAAATGGTGGGTGCAAACAGGTTATTGTATCATTACTTTACCCAGAAATAGAACATTACAAGGAGAAACAGAATGTGCTGATGGTGCAGAACTCATTATTGCATCAAAGTTTGAATAGCTTCACTCGAAAGTCTGAGCTTCTTAAAGGTACGTATGTGCATGTGTACGCTCCTAATAATCACAACACCAATATAATCACGCAATCAGCGGTGCCTTTAATGGATTATTTTAATTAATATGGACTATATAATAATAATAATAATTCCTAAAATATTACTCAATTTAAAGTTTTTTTAAAGGACTCGATTTAAAGTTATACGGAGTAGATAAGAATGCGAGGAAAGTAATTATGAGTATATTATCATAGTCACTAAAGTTTAAAACTGAATATGAACATAGTCACTAGAAGTTACCTAATATTCACTTTCTTGATTACATTTTTGTCCATTGACTTTGTTTGAGTCATAATCTCTCTCTCTCACACACATATATATATAACTATTATTTCATGTTAATATAGTTTAGGGTATTAAATAGTGACATTTTATACAAAGTGATTATACAAGTAACTTTTAGTGGCTGATTATATTCAATTTTATACTTTAGTGACTATGAAGTTATATTCCTAGTAACTTTAATAAAAAAATTCCATAACTTTTATTTCAGTTATATTTTTGAAAAATCTCCTAATCACAAGCACATGATCTCGCTAACCAATCGGCGAGTCGTGTATTGCAAGTAATGATATGATGGGACCTGACATGGGGTGGAGACATCTGGCCCACTGCCCAGAAATAGACGGTCTATATTTAGATCATTTCAGTTTGGGCTCAAGTTCTCTACCTGGGCTTTTGACTTGTTGGCCAATTAGGTTAGTCTTTGATGTTTGGATAATACGGAGTCTCAACAATTTGACTCCTAAATCCTAATAAAAAGCTCGTTTGATGACTCTGTTTTCTGACTTATCAGGTTTATCAATATATTTTTTAATAAAAAATGTAACTTTTGATTTCGCACGCTGAATTGCGTAATAATAAGAAAATGTAAGATTGAAATTACTTTACTGACTGTATTGACACAAGTTACTGTAGATGACCATTTTAGCTATTTTTCATATAATTTTATTCGTTATTTTATTAATAAAATATACTCCGAATATAAATTTTTCATAAATCAGCAGAATCGACCAATACAACCACTTTTGCCAGGACTTCATAAATTTTAGTAGAATCAGCTGATTCAGCCGATCTTAGTGGTACCAAACTGGCTCAAAAAAAGTTTTCTCCTATCTTTAGATCGAGTAAATACAACATTGGTCAACCATATAACTATAACAATATAGTAGTATATATTTCTTCTTCTCGTTTATATTTTATGTTTTATCTTTCCCACGCGCATATGTCATAACAAGTAGAATCTGTACACCTTTTGTACACCCTTCTATAAGGAATGCTTAGTGTACACACATTTCGTACACAGTACATATGATGTACACCCCTGCTAGTTGTCTATCGGCAAGAAAACTTCAGAATGAATTGCTTTTGTAGACAGACAACTAGCGGTAAAAAATGTGTGTGACAAAAACATTTTACTCCTATCAGGGGTGATCAAAAAGTGTACGCCAAAAAGGTGTAGACCTAGTTTCTCTCTAACCAGTAACATACACAACTATTCAGTGGAAATTGAAGCTATGCAAGTTGAGGCGTATAGACTTAGAGAGCTTTACGAGGCCCAGAAGAAGCAGGAGAAATTTATTGGGAAAGAAGAGGAGGAGGTGCCGCAGGACATGTGGGGAATGACTGATCAGCATTGGAGTTCCATCTGAGATTAAACCATATTCAGTCCATTTAATCAATTCAACAGCTTTTGCAGATCTGTTATTAGCTTCATTTATATGGAATTATTCATCTACATATTCTAGTGTGAAAATTATTTTTAAGTTATAAAGCCAAATGTAGTGGATATCTTTATGATCGAGACATATAATACTTTTTACAATTTAACTATGCATTTTGCGCGCAGTCGGTTAAATCAATACATTGGAAAATCATGATGATTATTTAGTAAATCAAAACAAATTTCCCAAGAAAAAAACTATAACATGAACAGAGTTTAAAAGTACTGTATAAATTTCGTAAGAGTGGGTAAATTTTTAGTTGCATTGACCCATACTAGGATAGTTGGACACTGATGGAGTATATGGGTCCGAGCTCCAGGACCCACATACTCGGAAGAACAGAGCACAAGACAACAGGGTGGCGCCCTCGTCGGCCAAGACGCCCCCGTCGGCCGAAAAGGGGCCAACTCAGATTACGGTCCTGAACCCAAGGAACTCGGGTGCCCTCGTCGGCCGTGCCCTCGTCGGCCGTGCCTTCGTCGGCCACGCCCTCGTCGGCCACGAAGACCTCCCAGAAACGGATTCTATACTTACTCATTTGTACAGCCCATTAGAGGCTTTGTATTCGGCCCAGTAGCGGTCCAGTTGTAAATGGGCCTCCCAAGCCCAAGGCTTGGGAGCCCAACCCTAATTTTCTCTATAAATACTCCCCTTGGGAGTAGTTATAGGGGAGACAAATTCATTCTATTGAAGCATATTATTGCACTTCTCTCTCTAGCTCTCACTTCTCTCTAGATATACTCTATCATTTGGTGCTCTCGTTGAGAGCTAGAACAATCAAGTTAGCACCCTTCGTCGCTACCGAGCACAGCTAACCACTGATCATGGGGAGAACTAAGTCAAACCGCAACCTCGTCAGCAAAGTCATCCCTGAGGACCAAGAGCCCAGGGAGCACGATGAGGACGCCACGGCCGACCAGGTCGGCGGAGGGGACCTCTTCCAGGAGGCCTTCAACCTCACGACGGACCTCCGCAACCAACTCAATGGCGGAGTCCCCGACGCCCGCCTCGGCCTGGAAAAGAAACGAGCTGAGAAAGCGGACCACGCCCCGGCCCAGCCTATGGCCGCGGCCTCTCCGCCCGTAGATCCTCAGGTCCAGGCCGCACTATCGGCTATCATCGCCAGCTTGGCTCAGAATCCCACCGTCCTCAGCGCACTCTTGCCAAGGACCGGGGGAAACGTCACTCCACCTCCTCATCCCCAACCGTTGGCCGTCCAGATAGGCAACAATGAGGGGGTTGTGGCCCAGGACACGGCGTCGTCCCACTCCCACCCTGCTTCCCCTCTTCGGCCCGGGCAGACCCCAGCTCGTGGAAAAGCCTCTGCCTTCAATAGGCTAGGTGACACGCGCCGTCGTCCGGTTTCGGAGAGGATGGCGGGACGGATTGGTGATCCTCGTCCTGGCTCGCCGAGGGAGAGTTTGGGGTCTGTGTCCCGGACAGCGGACCAGCCCCGCCCGGACAAGGGCAAGGGGAAGTTGCATGAGGATGACGTGCGTCACCAGATCAACGCGGCTCACAACGAGCGCCTGAGGAACCAGCCGGGTGCCGCTGCGGCCGACAGGGATCCCCGGGACGAGGTCATCGCCCAGCTGGAAAGGAGGTTGGCTCAGATGGAGGCCAAGCAGTCGGCCAACATCCCTACGGCCGGCGCCTCTAACGACCCCGGCCTCAACGCGCTCATGAACAAAGTCAGCGCCCTGGAGAGGGAGCTGGCCGAGGGGCGGGGTGACCCCATCATCCAGGTCAGGACTAGGACCCCTTTCACCAACAGGGTCCTCTCGGCCCCCATCCCTGAGAAGTACAGGGGGAACGCCATCAAGTCCTACGATGGCCGATCAGACCCCCAGGAGCACTTCAGCCGTTATCAAAACAACATGCTGATGGTGAACGCGTCCGACGAATACCTCTGCTGTTGGTTCCTCTCTACTCTCGAGGCGCCAGCGTACGAGTGGTTCAACGGACTGCCGGAAGGAAGCATCGACTCATGGCAGGACCTCGCCCAGCGCTTCCTCACTCACTTTGCTGGGAGGAAGCGCGCGAAGAAGTATTTCACCCACCTCCTCTCCGTCAAGCAGCAGCACGAGGAGTCCCTCCGGTCATTCATCGATCGATGGACGAGGGAGACCGAGGAGGTCGAGGGGGCCGATGAGCGCACCCTCCTCGCCTTGTACCAGGGAGCCCTCCGCAGCTCCCCGTACGCCAGGAGTCTCATCACCGACCCCCCGAGGTCGTACGCCAAGGCGCTCCAACGTGGAGGCTTGTATGCCGACGCCGACGACCTCCACAATCACAAGAGAGAGGGGGGCCATCCCCCCAGGAAGACAAATCCTTCGCCGGCCTCGGGTCCGTCCCCGGCCGGCCAGGGTGCCCAGGGCCGCCACGGCTCTGGTGGACAAAGTAAGAAAGACCGCCACTGGCGGCCGAGGCTGGAACGGCCGGGGGTAACCCTCACCCACCCGGTCGGCACCATCCTCGATTATGCCGAGAAGCACGGCCTCATCGAGTAGGCTCCTCGGCCGGCCGAGGAGATCCTTGCCATCCAACAGGGCGGCACATACTGCCGGTTCCACAAGAACTCGTCGCACAACACCGACGATTGCATCACATTGAAGAAGGCCATCGAGCGCCTTATTCGCCAGGGGGAACTCTCCCAGTTTGTCAAAGGTGGCCCGCGCAAGAACACTTGTGTAAACACCGGCAAACATGGGGGCGAACCCTCTGCGAAGAAGCGGGAGATTGGTAGACTCAGCGACGACGAGGACTTCGAGGAGCCTCCGCCGAAGAAGAATCACATCCACCTCATAGTGGGTGGAAACACTGGGGGGGACTCCGCCACTCAGAGAAAGAAGTGGGCCCAATCCCTTTACATTGGGGAGGTGTCCCACGTTCCCCCCCCAGCCGAAGAAGCAGAGAACGGAGGCGATCACCTTCACCGACAAGGATCTGCCTCCGGGTACGGGATCACACAGGGACGCCCTCGTCATCCGATGTGAGATCGGGGACTCCATCATCCACCGTACTTACATCGATACGGGGAGCTCCGTCAATGTGATGTACTTGGACACCTTCAAGCAGCTGAAGCTGGACAGAGCTCTGCTGAAACCGATCAAGACCCCGTTATCCGGCTTCACCGGGGACTCTATCGACGCCGAGGGCACGATAGTCCTCCTCGTGGAAGTCGGTGACGGCCCCCACCATGCCAAAATCAACATGGAGTTCATGGTGGTCAACCTCCAGTGCGCCCACAACCTGATCTTGGGCCGACCAGCGCTGGAGGACTTGGAGGCCATCATCTCCATGAAGCACCTATGCTTGAAGTTCCCCACCAATGACGGCATCGGCTACGCCAGAGGAAATCAGAAGATAGCCAGAGCTTGCTATCTCAAGCTAACGAGGCCGGCCGAAAGGGAAGGACAGCGGATAGACACCATTACGGCCGCCGTCGCCATGGACGAGGAGAGGCCACATGCGGAGCCGGCCGAGGAGACCGAGGAAATCCCCTTGGATACCTCCCGGCCGGAGCGGGTTCTCAGGGTCGGAAAGCAACTCCCCCAGGACCAACGAGACGCCATCCTCCTCGTCCTACGGTCATACGCCGTCGTCTTCGCGTGGGGCCCGGACGATATGCCAGGCATCAGCCGCCAGGTGATCACTCACCGGCTGACCGTCGATTCGGCCTCCGCGCCTGTCAAACAGAAGCGGCGCTACTTGTCCGCCGACAGGCGGGACTTCGTCAAAGGGGAGGTCGCCATGCTCCTCTCAATCAGACACATCAAAGAGGTGAAGTACCCGACATGGTTGGCCAACGTCGTCCTCGCACAAAAACCGCCGACGTTCAGAATGTGTGTTGACTACACTGACCTGAACAAGGCGTGCCCCATGGACCCGTTCCCTCTCCCCAACATTGATCAGCTGGTGGACGAGACGGCGGGGTGCGAGTTGATGTCGTTCCTCGACGCTTTCAGAGGGTACCACCAAATCTCCATGCATGAAGATGACGCTGAGAAGACGGCATTCATGACCCCAGAGGGAATCTTTTGCTACCTCGTCATGGCCTTCGGACTCAAAAACTCTGGCGCCACCTACACTAGGATGGTGGCCAAGATCTTCAGAGCGGTCCTTGGCCGGACGATGGAGGCATACATCGACGACATGATCGTCAAGAGCAGGCAGGCCACCTCTCACGTCGACGACCTCCGGGAAATCTTTGAAATAATGAAGGAGTTCAAGCTCCGGCTCAACCCCAAGAAATGCGCCTTCGGCATCCAGGGCGGCAAGTTCCTCGGCTACATGGTCAGCCGGAGAGGCATCGAGATCAACCCGGAGAAGACGCAGGCCATCATCAACATGGAGCCGCCCCGCAACGTCAAGGAGGTACAGCGACTGACGGGGCGCCTGGCGGCCTTAAACCGTTTCCTCTCCAGGTCAGCCGAGAGGGCACTCCCTTTCTTCCAGATCATGCGGAAAGCCAACAGCTTCAAGTGGACGACGGAGTGCCAGGAAGCATTCGACGAATTGAAAAGGTACTTGTCGTCCCCACCCGTGCTCTCCAAGCCCAAAGCCGGCGAAACCCTCTTCTTGTACTTAGGGGTGAGCACGTCGGCCATCAGCTCCGTGCTCATCCGCGAGGACGAAGGAGTGCAGAAGGCCATCTTCTACATCAGCAAGACACTTAGGGAGGCCGAGCTCAGGTACTCCCCCATTGAGAAGACGGTGCTGGCCATCGTCCACACCGTGAAGAAGCTGGGGCACTATTTCCAAGCCCACATCGTCCATGTGCTGACCCAACAACCTCTTGGCGCGCTCATGAGGAGCCCCACAAGCTCCTCGAGGATGGTGAAATGGGCGATCTTCCTCAGCCAGTTTCAAATTGAGATCAAGCCAAGGCCATCCATCAAAGGGCAAGCCTTGGCCGACTTCGTCATCGAATGCACAGCAAGGGAGACGGCCGTCGCCAACCACGGACCGGAGCCGGACGACACGTGGACCCTGTTCACTGAC